TTGTTCCATCTTATGAGTTTTTTTGTGAAATATCACTGTTTGCACTTTGTGACGTCATTATCAATGTTATTATTCTTAAATGCTAGACTGAATGAGTACCAAGCACCATAAAAACAGCATTTTATCTTTAAATAGCTGTGCGTTGGAATCCAAACCTATGCCCTTCAGGAAAGTCTCCACATTTTCGTTGATTACATTTCTTAGGCTTCCTTTTCAGTCGTGACGTCTTGCCTATGTCAAGATATGTCTTGACAAACGACTCATCGTTAATCATTCGAACGCGGCGCTATATAGGGGGCACCAGGAGAGCTAAACAAAGAGCTTAAGGATGGCTAAAGAAAAAAAAGTTATAACAAGTGTTCAAAAAGACCATCTTCTTGTGCTACACAGAAGCCTAGGCGATCGTAAAATCCCCGTCTGACATTGGCTAACATATTAGGGCTAATAGTTTGGAAAGCCTCTCGTATTTTTACTTGAAGCTCATTGATATTATTAGCCCTATTATGACCATACACTTTGGTTTTTACATAACCCCACAAAAAGAAATCATTGGGAGAAAGATCTGGTGATCTAGCGGGCCACAAAATAGTTCCATATCCACTAATTAAACGGTTGGGAAAAGTATTGTTCAAATATTTTTGAACAATACGGGCATTGTCAGCAGGGCAACCATCTCAGCAATTTGATTACTTGAAAACGTGGGATTTTGATACGGTGGTCCGGTCTGTATGTAACAGTAAGATGCAAATTGGCAGTAGAAAACAAAATTATTGAGCAAGTATCACAGTTCAGATATCTAGGAATAGATACGTCGCACTACCATGATCCAGAGAAAGATCTGAGAAGCCAGATAAACGGGGAGCAACGGCCATGTCAGGATATCTGAGACAAATAGTGTGGACAAACTCCTTCATGTGAACAGACGGCAAAATTTATAAGACCTGTATCAGACCAATAATGATGACACAGAAATCCGAGCAAACAAGACCAAAAGAGCGAAAGATCTCAAATAAGTAAAAGAAGAAGAAGAAGAAACAGTTAATAAATTATGTGCAACTGTATAACTGAAAATAACTAAGAACAAAAACATTTGATTTACAATACCTTTTTTAATATAACACAAAAACTAAATGGTATTCCATATTTGGTTACTTTCCCTTACACTTCATCAAAAAATAATGAATCTAGTAATAAAAATTTGTCTCTTTCCTGCCTCTATTCATATTCCTAGACTCGTTAAAAGATTCATCGACACTGTTTCTAAGAAGTCGATAAATAAAAACATCGAACACGCGTTGATTGGAATAATTTCGATTTTATTTAAAAAAAGAAAAAGATTTCGACGTCGCCGACGTCCGTTTTCAAAAGCGTCGCGATGCTTTAAACTATATTTTCGAGGAAAAACAGGATGAGATCTGCCCGTATTTGTGTTATTCCGAAAGGTGTTATGTTATTTCTAAGAACTCGCGTCTGTTTATGTAAGGAATTGACGTATTTATTCGATTTTTGAGACGTTTGATGTGTCATATATCGCCTGTTTTTACAGACGTATTCGTATATAAATAAAATTCGAAGGCTTTATTGGGATACCTGTCGTCAGGCTGTTACTTTTGATCTTAGAGACTGCGTTATTATTATGACCTCTATAACAGAAATACACAAAAATAAATAATATTCTTAATTTTTTTTCTACAGGGTGTTTCAAAAAAACGTGTGTCTCTCGTGAAGAGATTCCTCGCGTCAAAATACGATTTATTAAATAATATACATGTACTGATTTCTTTCGAAAATCAACATCTATGACACTATGAACCCTTCCTGGACACAAACGGTACATTGTGAGACAGGAAATGGTAGAGAGAAACAAGCCCTATAATATAGGATACAACATTTTAATGAACGGTGCTTTCCATAAAATCAATAAAATGAAAAATATACGAAATAAAATAAATGTACTGATTTCTTTCGAAAATCGACAACTATGAAAATATGAACCCTTCCTGGACACAAACGGTACATTGTGAGACAGGAAATTATAGAGAGAAACAAGCCCTGTAGCATAGGATACAACATTTTAATGAACAGTGCTTTCCATAAAATCAATAAAATGAAAAATATACAAAATAAAATAAATGTACTGATTTCTTTCGAAAATCGACAACTATGATAATATGAACCCTTCCTGGACACAAACGGTACATTGTGAGACAGGAAATTATAGAGAGAAACAAGCCCTGTAACATAGGATACAACATTTTAATGAACAGTGCTTTCCATAAAATCAATAAAATGAAAAATATACGAAATAAAATAAATGTACCGATTTCTTTCGAAAATCGACATCTATGAAAATATGAACCCTTCCTGGACACAAACGGTACATTGTGAGATAGGAAATTTACAATTTTCTTGAAAAATTACACTTTTTCTGAAAATTTACAATTTTCTTGAAAATTTACACTTTCTCTGAAAATTTACACTTTTTCTGAAAATTTACAATTTTCTTAAAAAATTACAGTCTCTGAAAATTTACACTTTTTCTGAAAAATTACATTTTTCTGAATTTGAAAGAAAATTGTAAATTTTCAGAAAACGAGTAAATTTTCAGAGAAAGTGTAATTTTGCAAGAAAACTGTAAATTTTAAGAAAAATGTAAATTTTCAGAAAAAGTAAATTTTCAGAGAAAGTGTTATTTTTCAAGAAAATTGCAAATTTTCAGAAAAAGTGTAAATTTTCAGAGAAAGTGTTATTTTTCAAGGAAAATGTAAATTTTCAGAAAGTCTAAATTTTCAGAGAAAGTGTAATTTTTCAGGAAAATTGTAAATTTTCAGAAAAAGTGTAATTTTTCAGGAAAATTGTAAAAAATGTAACTTTTCAGAAAAAGTGTAATTTTTCAAGAAAAACGTAAATTTTCAGAAAAAGTGTGAATTTTCAGAGAAAGTGTAATTTTTCAAGAAAATTGTAAATTTTTAGAAAAAGTGTAAATTTTCAGAGAAAGTGTAATTTTTCAAGAAAATTGTAAATTTTCAGAAAAAATGTAATTTTTCAGGAAAATTATAAAAAATGTAATATTTCAGAAAAAGTGTAATTTTTCAAGAAAAATGTATTTTTTCAGAAAAAGTGTAATTTTTCAAAAAAATTGTAAATTTTCGGAAAAAGTGTATTTTTTCAAGAAAATTGTAAATTTTCAAAAAAAGTGTAATTTTCCAAGAATCAACATAACAACATAGACCCGATTCTGGTTTGTTTCGTAAGCCTACAGGCTGTTCCCAAAATTTTAAAGAAAATCATTTTCGATTAATAATTTACCTCCAAGTACTTTTAGTGATTCCCCGAACTGGAAATCACAAACATCAGTGGCGCGTACATGGTTTTTCTTTTAGAAAAAATTCCACTAATAACCCATATGCACGAACCTGGTGAATATGTCGCATCACTTTTTAGCCGTTTAAGAATAATAATGTCGCATTTATAGTAACCAAAAGAATATTTATAGTTTTAAGATAACTCTCGTGAAGCTTCTAGTGATTTGTCATTACGTAGGCGCTTTTGAAACATAACTCGAAAGCCTGAACCAATGCTAAATTTTAAATTTTGCAGGACATCACAGTCCGGCGATATTTCGTTACAGGTAGTTGCCAAAACATTTCTATTTCTCGCAATAAAAAATTTACAAGAAATATGTAATTAGATTATTATATTTCGTATATTCGAATAATATTTTGAAATATAAAAAAAAAAAAAAATTCTCGAAAAAAAAAACGTAGCTATGAAAATCACTAAATTTTTAGATTTTCTTAAAAAAAAAAAAAAAATTTCTAATAAAAAATTAACTTTCATTATTCCGAACTTAAAACAATTAACAGTGATGTGTGTGATTATGGTGAATCTGTGCTAGTAATTAGGAAACTGGAGTAAATACGAGAATTATTAAGTTCTTCTCTAAAGGACCACACTAAGCTAATTTTTTAAAATTCGACCCATAAGGCGGTGTAATTAGATAAAAGGGATTGCTAATAGTACAAAAAAAAAAAAAATCTGTACCTACTATGAGTATGAACTTTTGCACAGATGTAGCGCATTTGAACATTGATAAGCGATTTTTGGAAATGTATAGCCTAAGGGTAGTGAAACTGGGGGGTGAATTTTTGTACAAAACTGTCTAGTTCTAGGAGTAATGAACCATTCTTTACAGACGTTTCCTTAAGTACGAAAGTGAATAACCTAGAAGCTAATTTTGATACCATTCATCACTTAAAAATAGAGATGAAAAATTTGTATCAAAAGCCACAATCGGGTTTAGAAGTATGAATTTTGGCACCCGTTCCTACCTTATTATGAACGTAATTTTAGCATTAAGAAGAAGCAATTCTTTGGAAATTCTGCCCTCTATTAGGGTGTGACAAATTAGGGGTTTGAACTTCTGGAACACCATTGAACAATTCGTACCGATCAAGCGGATATCTATGTTTATGCCCCAAGTCAAATGCAGGATCGGTTCCATTCATTCTGCGATAGCGGTACGTAATTTTGGGAACAAGAGCCTTAATACACTGCGAGTATGATTTGGAATATTTCATTCCTTAAGGGGGTCAAAACACTAGGGGGGAAAATTTGTATAATTTTTTTATGTAAAAATCCGTTCTTAAGGACTAGGAGTATGAAATGCTGTTCAGAGGTCCCTTAAATGACGAAAGTGAGTACCTAGAATCGAATTTTAGGCTTGCATCCCCTAAAAAATAAGGGATGAAAATTTGTACAAAAATTTGGTTAAAATCGTTTTAGAAGTACTGACATTTTGCATGGACGTTCCTTATGTGACGTAATTTAGCACTAAAGAAGCAATTTTTGAAATCGCCCTTCTAAGGGGTGTGAAATGAGGGGCTGAACGTTCTGGAACAATGAATTCTGTTCAAGGAATATGAGAATTTGCACAGAGGTTTCTCAGGTGACGTAATTGGAATAATTAGAGTGATTTTGGAATTCATTCCTTAAGGGGGATGGTAAAACCAGAGGACTCGGAACCAAAGCATACTTTTTGGTTAGAATTTCGTATGGGTAAATCCAGGCCGGGTAACAGCGCAGAGGAGTACTAGCGAGGAGTCAGCGGAGGAGGGCTGGTCAGATCCTCGGACACACCGAGGAGACAGAGGCGGGAAGCGCGCGCGACCGAAAGCGAAACGGCCACGACAGAGGGAGAGCGAATTCGGAGGCAGGCCGGCACGAAGCACACCACAGAAAGAGCGACGCTAAGTCTGACGACAAAGGGGGACGAGCAGACGAGCGGCGACGCTGACAGCCGCGAAGGGTGGGGGCGGAAAAGCCGGGGGGAGAAGGAGGGAAGGGGTGCAGACGGTGCCGGAGGGAACGGAAGTGAGCACTAAGAAGGCAAGGGGGGGAATAGGCGCCCGCGAAGGGGGGGAAAGGAGGGGGGGAACGGTCGGGGAACAAGAAGGACGGTGAGCACAGGCAAGAGGAGGATAGTGGCCACAGCAGGGGCCCGGAGGGAGCGGAAGGGAGAAGGGAGTGGAGGGGGGAAGGCAGGCCCGGAAGGGGGTAAAACGAGGGGTGAAAGGGGGAGAAGGTTGGAGGGAAAAGCCGGGCGAGGACGAGGAGGAGGAAAGGCGGGGCAGAGGGCCCGGAAAGGAGGGAAAGGGCAAGGACCGAGAAGCGAAGTGGAGGCAGGCCACGTCCCCGAAAAAAGGAAGCGCAGGGAAAAGTGGGACAAAAAGGGAGGGAAAAAGCGGGGGGAGGAAGGTAGGAAGGGCAGACGGTGCCGGCATGAACGGAAGGGGAGCACGAAGAAGCAAGGGGGGGAAAGCGCCCGCGAAGGGGTGAAAGGAAGGGGGGAACGGGCGGGCAACAAGAAAGGCGGGGCCAAAGGAAGCCGAGGAGGAGTGAGGACGATAGGAGGAGGGGCACAGAGGGTGAGGAGGGAGCACGGAAGGGGAAGAAGTGAGAGCGAGGGGGGGAAGGCAGGCCGGTAAGGGGGATAACGAGGGGGGAAAAGGGGGAGTTGGAAGGGGGAGGGAAAAAGCCGGGCGAGGACTAGGAGGAGGGCAAGGGGGGGACAGAGGGCCCGGAGAAGTGGAGTGTGAGAGAGGGTGCAGAACCATGAAGAAAAGGGGACAGGCACCCCCGAAAAAAAGAAGCACGCTCCGAGAAAAAAAGGAACAAGAAAAAAATGGGGCGAAAAAATAAAAAAAAAGGGCGGGGGGGGCCACGCGGAGCCACGGGAGGGGTAGAAAAAGAGAGAGAACAACCGCAGGAAGAGGGGGGACCAACTGCAAAACCAAAACCAGACCGACTGAAGAGACAGAGAAAAGGGAGCAAAACGGGCGAGCCGGGGCGGAGAGGGAACAAAAAATGAAGTAAAAAAAAACCGAGGAAAAGAGGAGGGGAGGAGGGGAACGGGGAAAAAGGGGGGTGAGGTGGGAGGGAGGAAGGGCCAACGAAAAAAAGAAAAACAGGGGGCGGGGCAAAAAAGAAAAACGGAGGGGGGGCGTACCCGGACCACAGAAGGGGAGAAAAAAGAGAGAACAACCGAGGCAGGAGACGGACGGAGAAGGGACAGAAGAAAAAGGGGAGCAAAAGCCCACCGGGCAAAGGGAGGGCGCGAACGGTGAGAGGGGCAGACAAAAAGGGAAAACAACCCCGAGGAAAAAAGAGGGGAGACAGGGGAGCACGGGGAAAAGGGGTGCGGGGAGGGGAAGGCAAAAAGAAAAAAAGACGAAAAAAAAAAAAAAAAAAAAAAGAGAAATAAAAAAGGGGAAGGGCGACCCGGAGCACGGAAGGGGGAGAAAGAAAGAGAGAACAAACGAGGGGCAGACCGACGCAACGAGACAGCAAGAATAAGGTCAGCAAAATGCGCATAAACCTGGCGGAAAGCGGGCAACAAGAAACGGAAAAAAAAACAACCCCGAGGAAAAAAAGAGGGAGGAGGGGAGAACGGGGAAAAAGGGAGAGGGGGGGGGCAAAAAGAAAAAAAGGAGGGGAGGGCGGACCCGCGCGGCGACCCGTAGCACTAAGGGAGAAGACAGAGAGAACGAAACCGAGGCGGAGACGGAGCGGAGACAGACAGGAGAAAAGGGGAGGCAAAAGCGGGCAAGCGGAGAGGGTGAACAAAAAACGGAAAAGAAGAACAACCCCGAGAAAAAAGAGGGGAGGAGGCGGAGAACCGGGGAAAGGTAGAGGGGGGGGGAGGGGGGAAGGCCAAAGAAAAAAAAAAGAGGTGGGGGCCAAAAAGAAAAAAGGAGGGGGGGCGGACCCGGAGCTAAGGAAGGGGCTAGAAAAAAAGAGAGAAACAACCGAAGGGGCAGAACCGACCGCAAGAGACGGAGAAAAGGAGCGCAAGAAGCGGGCCAAAGCCGGGGCGGAGAGGGGAGCAAAAAAAAACCAACCGCCGATGAGCAAAAGAGGGGGAGGGAGGGGAAAACCGTGGAAAAAGGGAGAGGGGGGGGAGGGGCCGAAAGGCCAGAGGAAAAAAAAGAGGGGGGGGGGGGGCCAAAAAGAAAAAAACAGGAGGGGGGGCGACCCGCGCGGCTGACCCGGAGCCACGGAAGGGGAGAGAAGCAAGAGAACATACCAGCCCGGAGACGGACGGAATGAGAAAGTAGGAAAAAGGGAAGGCAAAAGCGGGGAAAGGCCGGGGCGGAGAGGGAACAAAAAAGCGGAAAAAACAATCCCCGGGAAAAACAGAGGGCAGGAGGAGGGAGGAACGGGAACAAGGGAGGGGGGAGGGGGAAGCCAAAGGAAAAAAAAGGAAAAAAAAAAAAAAAAAAAAAGAAAAAAAAGGGGGGGGGGCGACCCGGACCACGGAAAGGGGAGGAAAAAGAGACAAACAGACGAGGGGCAGAACGCGACGCAAGAGACGAGAAAAGGGCAGCAGAACGCAGGCCAAGCCGGGGCGGAGAGGGGAGCAAAAATAACAACACACACAACCGAGAGAAAAGAGGGGTAGCGGAGGGAGAACGGGGAAAAAACGGGAGAGGGGGGAGGGGGAAGGAAAAAGAAAGAAAATAAAGGAGGGGGGCCAAAAAGAAAAAAAGGGAGGGGGGCGACCGCGCGGCGTCCGGAGCAGAAGGGGAGAGAAGAGAGAACACCGACGGGGGAGACGATGAAGCAAAGAAAAAGGGGGCAGAGCGGAGGAAGCCCGGGCGGAGAGGGGAACAAAAAGCGGACCACACACACAGGAGGGAGAGGGCGGCGCACGGGGAAAGGGAGGGGGGGGGGAGTGGGGAAGGAAAAGAAAAAAAAGGGAAAAAAAAAAAAAAAAAAAAAAAAAAAAAGAGGGGGGGGGGGACCCGGAGCACGGAGGGGAGAAAAACAAGCAAAGAGTCGCAGGACCGACGGAAGAGCACAGAGACAGGCAGCAAAGCGGGCAAGCCGGGGCGGGAGGGAAAAAAAGGATAAAAAAAACAGCCCCGAGGAAAAAGAAGAGGGGAGGATGGGGAAGCGGCGGAACGGAGGGGGGGTGGGGGGTGCCAAAGAAAAAACGAAAAGAGGGGTGGGGAAAGAAAAAAAGGGAGGGTGGGGACCCGGGAGAGCACAGGAAGGGGACGAGAAAGTAGAGAGAACAACCGGGGGGCAGACCGACGCAGACGACGGAAGAAAAGGGCAGCAAAACGCGAAGGCCGGGGCGTAGAGGGCAACAAAAAGAAAAAAACAACCCCGAGGAGAAAAGGGGGAGGAGAGCAGAACGGGGAACGGGAGGGGGGGGAGGCGTAAGGCCAAAGAAAAAGAAGAAAAAACAAAAAAAAAAAACAAAAACCGAAAAAAAAAGGAGGACCGCGCGGAGGACGCGGAGCAGGGAAGGGGAGAAAAAGAGGAGACAATGAGGGGAGACGTACGGGAGAGACAGAGAAGGGGAGCAAAACGGGGAAGCGCGGGGAGAGGGAACAAAGGAAAAACAACCCCGAGGAAAAAAGAGGGGAGGAAAGGAGACAGAGGAAAAGGGAGGGGGGGGAGGGGAAGGCCAAAGAAACACAAAAAGAAAGAGGGGGGGGACAAAGAAAAAAATGGGGGACGACCGTGAGCAGGGAAGGGGAGAAAAATAAGGAGAACGACCCGAGCGCGAAAGACGACGTAGGAGAAGAGAAAGGGCAGCAAAGCGGGAGCCGGGGGGAGTGACGGTCCAACGGGAACACGGGAAGGAGGAGAAGAGAGAGAGGAGGACGGAAACTGGCGGAGGGCGGAGAACGGAAAGACGGAGGAGAGCAGAGAGAAAAGGAAAACGAAGAAGGGAAACGAGGCAAGAAAGGAGCAACAAAAAGCCACGCGCGCGGGCGTGCTGGCCGCAGGCCCGAAGCAAAGAGCCGGAGGCGCCACGAAGGGGGGCCGCGCGCGCCAAGCGAGCAGCGGACACGCGGCACGAGGGGGAGGCCAGAGACGAGACGGGCGAGGGGAGGAAGAGAGGCGGGGAGGAACGGGGACCACGCAAAAGGCAGGCGAAACACGAAAAAGAGGGGAAGACGCCGGGAACGCGAAACCAAAAGCAGAGCGAGCCGAGGGGGAGAGGAAAAAGAAAGCGGAGGGAGGGGAGGAAGCGCCCACGAGA